GTCAGGATTGAACTGTTGTCCAGCGCCGGGATCTATGGGAATGATATTCAACTCAATGTTCAGTTCTCTGGCAGTCATGAGAACAGATCGACAGAAGGGACTGACATGAAAGGAGTAGATGTCAATCATGTCAACTGGCATTTCCGGTCAATTCACGTATAAAGCAACTGATTTTTCTATGAAATTCTGTCACAATTAGTAAACATTCAGTAGTGAAGTGGTAAAGAATATGTGCAGTGTTTGCCATTTATATCGTTATGCAATTCATTCAAATTCAAGGTTGTTTAGTGCAAGTACTCATAGGATTGCCAACGGTTTTGTTTTAGAGACACATTATGTCATAATAATTATGTTAATACTAAATTTTAAATTGAACACAGCCCATTTTGCAAATTTATTACCCTGTACAACCATTTTAAAAGTAATTTTAGACACAAATAGTTGATAACTTTATTAAAGAGTTATTGGTTTTCTTTTGTTAAACATTGAAATATTAAAGAATTCCTGAATTGTGTGAACACTACAGACAAACAGACAGTTTTACTTTTATTTGTCTGGGCGTATGGGGTAGTCATGTTTACTATATCAGCGCTTAAGGTCACTGCAATATATTATACGAGTAAATGTAACTCGTTGTTATTTTAGAATTTAATTTTAAAATGTAATTGTTCATTTCTTATTCATTGATATTCAAAATATCCATCTGTAATGACAAGCATTTTTAAAATGATTTTTATTTGATTATTAATACATTAAAGTTATAATTAATGTTGCAAATATAATAAATCTAAACAATGATTCGTATAATTAAAATATGATTTCAAATATTGCTAAAATATTACCTGTTAACTCATTTTTATAAAGTACTTTAATTTATTAACTTTTATAAATTTAACAGAATACTCACTATAATTATAAAACAAATTATTATAATGCAAACACATATAAGAATAGTATACTAATTAAAATTTTAATATAATTCCCAAAACACCAATAATATTAATTCTTGTGATAATTATATCATTTAATAATAGCATCATGCATAATACAACTCATTTAATTTAAATTTTAAAGCAAAAATTAATATATAATATTACATTTAATATCTGGAATTCATTTGATATAATAAAAGTTTACTTTTTGGGGGCATATCTGGCTCTAGCCTTCTCGACCAAAGCCTCCCGTTCCTCCTTCGAGAAGGTATTGATTTCATCGAAATACGGCAATTCCTTCTGAACAGTGGTGAACCAGCGCTTATAGTTCGTGAATTCGCTTACATCCAGTTCCGCCCAATCCAGGTATGTGCCGGTGGCTAACAGTGACAGGTCAGCGATTGTCAACTGGTCGCCCACCACGTAATGATTTGAACCAATTATTTGGTCCAAAACCTTCAGATTATTCTTCAGGTTTGTCACCTTATCTTCAGGCGGATCCACTCCAGCAAACATTTTAGCCCTCTATTCGATAATACTTATAGTAATTGTCATTAAGAAGTGGATGAATGAGTGGTTTACCATAATTTCCCCAATTTGTGGGCCCAAACCCATATCGATGTTGAGGGACCGGTCGACCAGAGCTCGCTTTTTAGGGTCTCGAGGGTAGAGCTGACTGTCCGGTGCGTATTGGTTACANTGAGGGACCGGTCGACCAGAGCTCGCTTTTTAGGGTCTCGAGGGTAGAGCTGACTGTCCGGTGCGTATTGGTTACACAGATACTGCATAATGGCTCGACTTTCCCACAATGAGAATCCATTGTCATCAATGGTGGGAACGGTATGTGCCGGGTTCACCTGTTCATTATAATTATTAATTTCAAAGATTCAACAGATAAAGGTTATAAGAATAACATACCTTGATAAATTCCGGTTTCATTTGTTCACCTTCAAACAAGTTAATGGGTTTGAGGTTAACGGGGATATTAAGTTGTCGTACGGTCATCAATACGGCACGGGATGGCCCGCTATAACGACTGTAATACACGTCAACTGGCATTTTGCTAATGATATTTAACTCTTGAGTTTTTAATTGAAAACTTAAACAAAACTTTTTGAAAGTATAAAAGTGTGTGAATGAGAGCTCTCTTTATATACTTGTGTGAAGACTATTGCACTACAAGTGAAGCCAATAGTGAAGTGAAGAATTAGTTAACGTTAGTCAACGTAACTGTGATATTGTATGCAATACTCCAACGTTATTGAATTGCTGTGTTATGTACTATTAGGACGACAAATGCTATATACCTTTTAGTGCAATGTTTAGTGCAAATACAGTCAACTCTCGCTTTGTTCAACAATATATTTATGATTACTTCATGTGAATGTAACTCTAAACTGTGCTCGTTAGTAATTTTCCACTTAAAATAAATATGGGCTTTGGAAATATAATTAAAAATGAAATATTTAAATTAAATAAGAAAAATAACTATTAATAGAAATAATAAGTTATTTATTAAAGTCTTTTATAAAGAATTTCATGTAATTTACTTCATGAACAATATAATATTAATATCTTATTGATTTTTACTACATTATTTCATAACATATCATATAAATTGTTATTGTACATTAATCTATATTGAGGTTACATAGATTTTCAACAGTTATTATTTTTATTAATTTAATTATTATTATAAAACTATTATTTATTAGCTTTGCGTTTTTTAACAAATGCATCTAGTTCACTTCTGGAAACAGAATTTATTTCATGAAAGTAAGGGAGTCGTGCCTTCAATGATGAATACCATCGCTTATAATTGGGATAACCATTGATGTGATAGTATGAGGGACCGGTCGACCAGAGCTCGCTTTTTAGGGTCTCGAGGGTAGAGCTGACTGTCCGGTGCGTATTGGTTACACAGATACTGCATAATGGCTCGACTTTCCCACAATGAGAATCCATTGTCATCGATGGTGGGAACGGTATGTGCCGGGTTCACCTGTTGATTATAATTATTAATTTAAAAGATTCAACAGATAAAGGTTATAAGAATAACATACCTTGATAAATTCGGGTTTCATTTGTTCACCTTCAAACAAGTTAATGGGTTTGAGGTTTACGGGGATATTAAGTTGTCGTGCGGTCATCAATACGGCACGGGATGGTCCGCTATATCGACTGTAATACACGTCAACTGGCATTTTGCTAATGATATTTAACTCTTGAGTTATTAATTCAAAACTTAAACAAAACTTTTTGAAAGTATAAAAGTTTGTGAATGAGAGCTCTCTTTATATACTTGTCTGAAGACTATTGCACTACAAGTGAAGCCAATAGTGAAATGAAGAATTAGTTAACGTTAGTCAACGTAACTGTGATATTGTATGCATTACTCCAACGTTATTGAATTGCTGTGTTATGTAAGGAGAGGACTCTGTTTAGTACTATTAGGACGACAAATGCTATATACCTTTTAGTGCAATGTTTAGTGCAAATACAGTCAACTCTCGCTTTGTTCGACAATATTCTTATGATTACTTCATGTGAATGTAACTCTAAACTGTGCTCGTTAGTAATTTTGCACTTAAAATAAATATGGGCTTTGGAAATATAATTAAAAATGAAATATTTAAATTAAATAAGAAAAATAACTATTAATTGAAATAATATTAATTAGTCTTTTATAAAGAATTTCATGTAATTTACTTCATGAACAATATAATATTAATATCTTATTGATTATTACTATAACATAACATTATTTCATAACATATCATATAAATTGTTATTGTACATTAATCTATATTGAGGTTACATAGATTTTCAACAGTTATTATTTTTATTAATTTAATTATTATTAGAATAAGTTTATTATTATAAAACTATTATTTATTAGCATTGCGTTTTTTAACAAATGCATCTAGTTCACTTCTGGAAACAGAATTTATTTCATGAAAGTAAGGGAGTCGTGCCTTCAATGATGAATACCATCGCTTATAATTGGGATAACCATTGATGTGATAGTCAGCCATCTCTATGAAAGTGGCCGAAGCCAGGAGTGAGAGGTCAGCGATTGTCAACACATCTCCCGTCACGTATGGGTTGTCACCGATCAATGTGTCCACAAGTTTTAAGTTGTTTTCATAAGCAATCACTTTATCTGCGGGCGGATCCACTCCAGCGAACACTTTAACCCCCTTTCCGTACAAAATACATGGTTTTAATGCTTTTAATTGACGATCAATGTGTCCACAAGTTTTAAGTTGTTTTCATAAGCAATCACTTTATCTGCGGGCGGATCCACTCCAGCGAACACTTTAACCCCCTTTCCGTACAAAATACATGGTTTTAATGCTTTTAATTGAGATGATTCATAATTATAAAAATTCTATTTTAAGGAAATTAAATGCAATTTACCAAGACACTTTTTTGTGACAAACTATAGCTGATATCGAAATTCAAAAATCGATCGACAAGTGCTCTTTGCTTAGGGTCCTTAGGATAGAGCTGACTGTCCGGTGCATATTGATTGCACAGGTATTGCATAATAGCCCGACTCTCCCATAAGACAAAGCCATTGTCGTTGATTGTGGGGACGGTATGCACAAGGTTTAGCTATTCAAACAAATTAATTGATTATTATCATAAACTATCGAAACTAATAAAAGAAAATATGTGAATTACTTGTAGAAAGTCAGGATTTAATTGTTGTTTGGTTGCTAAATCCACTTCCTTAAAATTAATGTCAATATTTAGATGTCTGGCCACCATTTGTGCCGCACGTGAGGGCACACTGTATTTAGTGCCGTAGAAATCAATCGTCATGTTATGATATAGTGTTTATTGAAATAATTGTCTCAACTATTCATACAAATTATATATTTATTAAAGTGTACTAGTACAGTATAATGTTATCTTCTTAATCTGTTTATCTGTATATTGTTTACGTCACTATGACATTGTCATATAAATTATATACTGTGTTACTTACGATAAATATACTAGTTCTTTCATATTTACGTTGGAAATAATTTTATTAAAATACTTATCTAAAATAAATAAGTTACAATCATAAATTTTAATGAACACTTAATGGTATACATATTCTCATTAAAAACATTTTGATATAGAATTGTGGTATAAATGCAATGCAATATAATTGAGACAATATTTTACTGTTGAGCCTTTGCGGCAAATTTGGCCCTCACTTTGTCCACCATTTGGTGCTTCTCCTCCTCTGAGAACTCATTGATTTCAGCAAAATATGCCAAATCTGTCTTCAGATAGGAATACCATCTCTGATAGTTTGGGTATTCACTCAAATCATACTGAGCCCACTCTATATATATAGTGCCGGCCAGTAATGACAGGTCAGCGATGGTCAGCTCATCCCCCGTCAGATATTTGTTGTCACCGATAACTGTATCGATAATTTTGATGATATTGTTGACGGCATCCACTTTGTCTTGAGGCGGATCCACTCCGAGAAACACTTTTGTAAACTTATTGAGAGATATATATATATTTTAAAACTTTTTAAATATTTTTAAAAATTGTTAAACTATTCAGAAAATGAATGATAATTACGAAGAATTCTCCCAAAGTATTGGACAAATTCATGTCATAATTAAGCCACCGGTCGACCAGTGCTCTCTTCTTGGGGTCTCTGGGGTAGAGCTGACTGTCCGGTGCGTATCGGTTGCATAAGTACTGCATAATAGCCCGACTCTCCCATAAGACAAAGCCATTGTCGTTGATTGTGGGAACGGTATGCGCCGGGTTTAGCTATAATTTATTTTAAGAAAACACCACAAACTCAATATTTATAACCAGAAAACACATACAAATGAATGCAAACCTGAATGAAGTCTGGTTTCAAGTGCTCGCCTTCACTCAAATCCATGGCTTTAATGTCGATCTCAATGTTGAGGTGACGGGCAGTCATATGGACGGCACGGGACGGCCCACTGAATCGGCTGTAGTACAACTCAATTGGCATTTTGTTAAAGCGATACACGGGTTATACAGTAATCCAGTTAAAACAGTTATAATAAAGAGCTATTTATTTATGAAATGTTTGCCAAATTTGATCACAAACTCCAACTCATCTGAAGGCCATGTATTCAATATTTATTACATATTTATTTATCTTTACATTATTTACGAAGGAATGTCTCATATATACTGAATAAGTGATAAATATTCGCTATAAATACAGTCTATTCCTACTTTTCAAACCATTGATTATTCTCATATAACTCTCAATGTATAGTACAGTTCACTTCTGGTATAACCATTAATTTATAAAGTGATAAAATATTCTTGTTGTTAGGAATTCAAAGTCAAAATAGATTTTTGTGCCATTTTATTAATAATAAGCTTTAGAGTGTTCAGATTACAATCAAATGATAAATATTAAGTCAATAAAAAGATTATCATTTTTACTAGTAATCACTTAATTATGACAAAAGTATCATTAATAAGATTAGTTGGCATTTTGTTGAGCCGCGCGTTTAGCCTTTATTTTCTCGATGTAAACCATTGCCTCGGCTTTCATATCAAAGCCGTTGATGTCCTGGAAATAAGGCAACTGTTGGCTGAGTGTTGCGGTCCAGCGCTTGAAGTTCGGGTAATCCTTGACATCGAAATCCATTTTCTCGAGGACTATAGTCGTCGACAGCACCGACAGGTCAGCGATGGTTAGGTTATTGCCCACCAAATACTTGTTGTCGCCGATCAATGCGTCCAAAAGTTTTAAATTGTTTTTAAAGGCATTCACTTTGTCTTCGGGCGGATCCACTCCACTAAACAATTTCGTAAACTATTGGAAAAATGCAAACAAATTAAACAAAATTCCGCACAAAAACTATTCAATCATTTTTCCCATTACCAGAGCCTCGCGTTGCGATTGGAGTAAACCCATGTCGAAGTTGAGCCACCTGTCCACCAATGCCCGTGCCCTGGGCTCACGCGGGTATAGCGTGCTGTCCGGTGCGTATTGATTGCACAGATACTGCATAATGGCTCGACTTTCCCATAGGATAAAACCGTCGTCATCTATGGTGGGAACGGTATGCGCCGGGTTTAGCTGTATATCACACACAAAGGGTCGGCATTAGGAATATTCTGTACAAATAGTTGAAAACTTTGAAACCTTCAGGAATTCGGGGGTCAGTTGTTCGCCTTCACTCAAGTCCAGTGTCTTGACATTCAAATCGATGTTCAACTCCCGGCCCGCCATCAGGACAGCCCGACAGGGAGGGCTCAGTCGCATGGAGTAGATGTCGATCGGCATTATGTTTGATAAGTGTTTGTATGGGAATTAACTATATCTGCAACACTATAGTAACTCTTCAGTTGTTTTAATAGTTTCTGAAATAGTAGTGAAACTTTGGTCGCAAACAATATATGCTATTATAATGAATGCCGTGTTTTGTGATTAAAGTAATGAATCGAGAGATGAGTCCATTCTATGGGGAACTTCCTTTTGGAGGACAACTATATTATCACTCTTTAACTTTGCTCGCAAACAATATATGCTATTGTAATGAATGCCGTGTTTTGTGATTAAAGTAATGAATCGAGAGATGAGTCCATTCTATGGGGAACTTCCTTTTGGAGGACAACTATATTATCACTCTTTTTATTATCCCATTCTCTGCTTAATTATCGTTGACTTCCCATTCAATTACCGAATAATAATCTCATGAGTCATGAAAATACTAACCATTTTGAAGGCCAACTACTTTTCGCTATTATGTAATATTCACTCAAATTCTGTGAAGTCTTATATAAATTACTCTTTTATTATATTATATTTTTTAGAAAAGGGTTTTCTTTGTATTTTGAGAAAAAGTACATAACTTATAAATGGTTATCATTTTTTAGTTCATTTCCATTGATTAAATTGACTTTATAAACAGTTCATTCATTTGAATATTTGAATTAGTTTTATTATACAGTATCATATTTAATTAATATCTTAAAATTATTTAACAATTTTGGAATTATTTTAAAAATTCATTTTAAATGTATATTAACATAAAATAAGAAATTAAAATAAAGTTATACAAAATTACGAAAATTGTTTGCTCATTGCGATTATTAATATATAAATAATTAAGTAATTAATATTCCAATAAAATGATCATAATTCATTCAATCAATCACATTTTTATATCAATTTAACACTTAAACAAAAACACTTTTTGACATTAAATAAATGCCAAATGTTAGATGGATTTAATAATTGTAGTAATCTGATAATTAATTATCAGAATAAAATACTAAACAATAAATGAACATGCGCTTAAAAGTTGTAATTTGTACTTTGAGCACTTAGACTGCACTTAATAGAGCATTTTTCAAAATAAACATTAAACTCAAATAATTTAAATATTTTGCTTTTACTTTATAATAATATTATTGGAATTAACTTTATTAATTAAATAATTATTTAATATTATTTAATATTAAATAATTAAAAATTATTTGAATGTTGAATATGGAATTTAGGATAATTATATTTACTATAAATAAACTTATGTGAACAAGTATTTATGAAATAACTCACATTATTGAAATTTCTTGTAAATAATATGCTTTTATAAAAATTATAATAGCTAATAGATTGAAATTTGATAACTAAAACAAACAATTCTCATGAGAAACCTAACATTTGGAAAGTTAGTTTTCTATTATTTTAGTAATTAT